CCAAGGTTGATTATTGGGTACTAGATCAGAAAGGCAAAAACACTGAATTGATCACAAGTGAGCCCCGGCAGTCATCATATGGACCACGTGGCACTGAAATGCCACTACGATTCCGGATGAATGTAGAACGCGTGGCGCATCCCATAAGCAATTGTATTAGAACGCGCATATTTTCAACGCTCTTTTGTCCACGGCTTGGAACGACCTCCTCTTTCATTCAAGTGGTAATAACTAGGTTTCAATAATGGTCGAATCAAGTAAATGTTTGTAGTATTTTCGCCCAGTGCTAGATCTTTTAGGTGTGAATTCCTGTTTGTTTAACCCGAAAGCGTAAACTGTGGAGTTCATAGAAACGGAAGTTATCCATTTTGTTATTCATTATACTGAATCTTGTGGCACATCTAGAGAGCTAGATTCTGGTCCAAAGATCATCTTCTCTCTGGGCATTTCGCGCTATGGCCGTCTGGCCAGAGAACAATCAGATAGCGCAAAACGTGCGGTCTTTGCATATTTCTTCGTTCGCGCAACATGACGGACATTGAACAACTGGCTTAATCGGGGGCAGCGGTGTCAGCGAAACGAAGCACGCGGAAAGGCAGGCCGCGATGGCGGCGATGGCGGCTGATGGAAGTGATCTGCCGGCGATTACCGTCAACAAGAACGACGCACAGTGAGGTGCATCAGCCCGCATTAAATGCGCAAACGATGATGCGACCACGAGCGAGTTGGTCGAAATTTGGATCAAATGCGAGCAAGTTGGGAGAGGAGCGGTACGGGATAGGGGGGGGGGTGAAGAATGGAAGAGTTCAAGAGAGAAACAGGAGGCGGCAGCATCAGGAATTAGAAGGATCCGGAGGCCTAAAAGACGTGTAAATTTCAATTCAATTCAAATCCGCGAAACATGTGAACCCGTTTTCCAGCTAATTTCTACGGGAACCTCTCAAAAAAGGCACCAGTATTTGAAGGTTTATCTGAAATAACTCGGCTAGGTCGGTCTTGTCAAGGGATCTTGCGTGTTATTATCCATGTGGGAATTAACGTGTCTTTCTGCAGATTGGCTAAAGGGTTGGTTGAAAGAAAAGATGGGATGGGAAATGTTTCATGGACATGAATTGAGGGAGGGTTTTTGCGAAATATTGGAAAACTGGGCGGTGTCAGCAACAATTGAGCCCCTCCCACCACTCCCCCACCACTATCGAGTCGAGGGCTTCTGTCAGGGACTTTCGCAGATAGAGAGTAGGTCGAGCGTAGGACAGGAGGGATCACCAAAGTGTAGCTCGAGAAGGACCGAACATGCTTCGCATCAAGGCTCACTGAAGGGGAGGAGGAGGAGGTTGTTCCGATGAACTTTCTCTTCCCATTCTGAGCCCTTTCATTCCGTAATGGAAACTGTTTGCCGGGAAGAAGCGCCGCTGTCAAATGCACAGGCTGTAGATCGAATACTTGCTGGGAAACCCTACTTTCTTTGGTCATTTTTGGTGCGCAAAGGAAGGCTTGTATGTATCTTTGGCTAAGAAAATGTTTTAATATATAGGTTATATAGGCATTCAAATGAAATGTTTCAGCACACCAAAAACCAACCTGGTTACTCTTTCCATTTCCCATTTTCCTTGACTTTAGCTTCCTATTTCGTTACAGCTCTAGCTTAGGGTAAAGGTAGTTAAGCTATCTTTTTTCTGCGTGTATCAGCTGAAGCTCGAAGCTGAATACCTTGCCTGAGCCAAACTTGTATGGCGCATTCCAAGAAGAGGTTGACCAAAGCCGCATACTTCCCTCTTCCCCTATACAACGTCCTTAGTAGAGAGGGTCGATATAAAGCATAAAAGAGGGAGGATGTTTTCCCTGAAAGGTAGACTATTTCTTTTTATGATTCTCCTCTTTGCCAAATTCATACAAACTCCGCTCAAAACTTCAGCATCCGACTATCCTAGTAGGCCTAACCCCTTGGATACCGACTAATTTGGGTAGTGATGGACCCTCGAACCTGGATATTTGGGTAGTGACGATCCTTCCGATATGACGTCCAAATGACGTCACGTCAGTAGTCCGTTCTTTTGAGTTCCAACGACCTTCGCTCACTTATAGAGCAATTACCTTCACCTCGCGAGGATGACGTCCAACACAAACTGGTTGTTGAGTGCGAAGAGCATTTCAGGTCTCTGGACTACAGAACCGAAGCGATTGGGAGCCTGCGAAGTGACGACCTGAAATTAAGGTGGCCCCTAACCTTGCACCCCAGGCTGAGACGTGTTCACAAAGCAGCTCTACTCGTAGCTTGACAACCTTTGACCGCGACAGCATTTGCCGCCGCAAGTGGCCAGCACTTCGTATCCAATATCTCCGTCCAGGGACAGCTGTGCCTATCGATATTATGCTTTACTGGCTAATCATTCTTCGACCACTTGTCGATCGTATTTGAGCCATAAATTTTCGGGGAAAATTGAAGCATATAGTTGTGCTGTCAGAACAACAATGCTTGAAAAGCACAACAGCTGACAACCCGGGGAGGTAAAAAAATTGGCATTCTCTAGAACCGCAGCATTGATGTCACCAGTAAACTGGCGAGCTCTCACGTTGACAACAGATATCGAACTAAACTGTTTGGCAAGCAACCGAAAAACAGTTCTTGACGACAGCTGCGAAGAACGCAAAAAAGTAGTCCCTATGCCCCCTCACTCGAAGCGTTTTGACATTTTGACAGCCTAGCCCGTTGCAGGGACCTCCTTCATGAAGCTCTTGCACGGAGAGAAATTCCTGGAAATGAGCTAATTCAGAGGATTCATGTAATAGGTGATCGCACTTGATCCCTGACACTCTAAATAAGAGAAGTTAGCGTGATGGGAAGGCTGCTATCGCAGTACACGGGGGGTATCCTCCAGAGACTAGCCTGGGAACGGCAGGCTCTGCGGAAAAATGGAATGGCTCACGCATTTTGAAGTCTCTCCTCCCCGCGTAGACTTAGTTCCGCATTTAACTAAAAAACATGTTTCCGCAGTTTCAATTGCATTGTCATCAGAATGTCCCCCTATATTGCGATAGCGCTCGGTACTTTTTCAGGGCAGCTGCCCCGCATAAAGCTACTCAGAACAGAAAGTTCGAAGGTGTTTTGCCTTCTTCTGATCTCAAAAATAAAAGAAAAAATAATAATAAACAAGGAAAATTCTAGAAAAAAGTCCTTCTAATAGCTAAAAAGCTTGTATTTACTTTCACTACCTTATCCTACTCCCGCAGGGTCAAGCGTGCGTTGAGGAATCCTCGACACGTCGCAGGGGGGGGGGGTCGTATTGGCCCGCTGGGTGGAAGAGATCGAGCCATTTTGATGCAGTGGGATCATCACCGTCGGAAGACAAATATCAAGGATGAGTCGATGCCAGGCCAGAGGATTTCCAATGAAAATGATATTTCACCCACACAAAATTTTCGTGATTCTGAGGCGTCCGGTAATTCTTAGTTACTTCAGTGTTTTATCACCACACAAGTTATAAAGAATCTGAATTTCGCACGCTTTCCAAGAGATATTTCATCTTTCAAGTAAGACCCCGAATCTGAAGGGATGTGAGGTACACGGCGCATCCGAGAAAGGGTCTAGTTGTTGCGCGCGCTTCAACTACGGCTCCTTGGACAAACAACCTCAATTCAGGAACAATCGAGAGAATTCTGAAAGTGTCCGTGCGCATTTACAGGGAGGTGTACACCATTCAACATTGCGTTAACGGACTCTTCAGGGTTAAATTTATAAACATGTAACCTTTAAAGTTGAGAAACGCTAATCAATCACTTTTCTTAGAAAGAGAAAAGCAGTGATTCCAAATCTGCTCTTACTTTAGTACATAATCGCCCTTAAAAGGATATACAGCCGTTGAAATAGTGCCAATGTAGCGAAAAAGTACCTTTCGGCGGTACTCGTGCGAAAATCCTCAACGTAGCCGTTTTTTTAATACTGGACGTTTGGAGCAGTTCTAGTAAGCATTTGATAGAGCAAATCTTCTAGTTTATGATGGCGTATTTACTTTTCGGATTGGATGAGTTTGAACGGAGTTATGGCTTTAGGAAGTAAAAAAACTCGCACTCATCACAAATTTTCCTCGTTAATTTTGCAAAATCCTCAACGTGGCCATTTTTTGAATACTGGACGTATAGAGCTGCTTTAGCAACGGTTTGGTAGAGAAAATCTTCTAGTTTTGTCTGCCATATTAACTTTTCGAATTTGACGAAAATGAAGCAAGTTGTTGCTTCGGAAAGTGTAAAAACTCGTGCTCATCTCGAATTTTCCTCGTTAATTGGCCTAAATTTGTTATTTCTTATAACTTTTTGTAATTTCTATACTGATTAGAAAAAGCTCTTCACAAAACTTCCAAATCTGCTTTCAGATTGAAAATTCGTCATATTTGAAGAAAGTTATAATCATTTGAATATTTGTTCAAATTTCAATAGTAAATAAGCTGCTCCACGGTCAACGCCAAAGTCCAGTCAACACACAGCTGGCGAAGGCGGTTAAAAAGCTTCTTTCAACTGAAGGGCTACGTGCAAATTGAGAACCACAATCTGTGTAGTACTAGAATTTGGTAAGTCTTGTGGAGGAAATAAATAAAGAACAGATGTTGTCATGGTATGCCATTTTTAGTGGACTAGTTTGTCGTTTTTCTGGTCTGTTTCTCGTTTGCTCGTTTGGTAGGACTCATCAATAATGATTATTCTTTGACTTTTTCACTTTTGTACTTCTTAAACGAATTTTTTTGTGGGCGGTGGGGTAGCAGGGCTTTTTTATGAGCAGTTTTGGGGAGAATTAAACAAGCTTTTCAACCTTTTCATAGTTCGGCTTTTGAAGAGGGTTGTTTCATGGACTTCGGCCTCCGGCGGAGGGGGGGGGGGGGGTCGTATTTCCAAATTTTCCTCAACGCCTCGCTTGACCCTGTCTTGGTCCAGAGAGTCTATTACCACTGAAACTAACGTAAACATGTAGTTCACTTGAATCGTAAACACGTAGTTCAATTGAAAAGATGTTTGAAGAAAATCGATTATCGATTTGTGGTTTCAGCTACCTTTGCCGTACCGATCCTCGAGATGTGGCTCGTGTCGAATCAAAGACCTGGATGGTCACCAAGGATAAGTACGACTCTGTAAGTCAATTCTGCCATTTTCCACAAGATTATCTTCCAAAAAATTAAATTTAAATTGATCAAGTACCGTAACTCACCACTGGGACTTCATTACTGTTTATGCGTAAAATATTTTAGGTATGTCACACTCCCGAAGGTACTCGACCGATCATGGGACAATGGATGAGCGAAGAGCAATTCGGCAAAGAACTCGACGCCAGATTCCCCGGATGCATGGCTGGTAAGGGCTATTTCTTCAAATAGAAATTGAACGCTGAAATTCTTCGCGATTAGAACCCTTAAAAAAGTAGAGACACAGCAGAAAAGAAAGCAAAACTTGGGAAGTACAATTCTTGTGGTTCAACTAATTAATACATGGCCGAAAAAATAAGGTTCACAAAGTGTTTCAGCATTGAAGGGCTCTTTCCTGCAAAATTTCACGGCAAACGGCGAGCCCTCATCCAAAAATAGGTGCATACTGTAGTTATGATACCATAAATTTTGATCGAAATTGCGCCTTTTTTGAGTGTTTTCTTACAGTACAGTACAGTTACAAATACAGTCCAGTTACAAGTGGATAACTGGGGCTCTTAGAGGTTGCACCTCAGGTTAGCCTACGAAAGTGACCCACCAGTGGTTAAGTCAATTGTCCACCTTGATCTCAAAGAGGGCGCTCATGTCCTCAGGTGGCGGGGGGATAGGAATATTTGAAAAAGGCATTTTAAAAACCCTGGTAGGTGAAACTAGGACTAAGGCCAGGAGAGGGGAGAAACTCTAGGAAGAACAAAGGTTGCTCACATCCTCACCCGAATCCCTTCCCCTTATTTAGGCTTAATGCCACATTCTGTAAGTTGCTGATTCACTTCAATGTCCCCGCTAAAGATATGAGCACCTTAAAGAGTTGAAGAAATCATAAAGTTTTCCCGACCTGCTTACAGTACATTTAAGTTCTCTATTTCCAGGACGTCCAATGTACGTTGTACCGTTCTCGATGGGACCCATCGGTGGACCATTGTCGAAGATCGGAATCGAACTCACCGACTCAAGGTACAGATACCGTTCGCTATGTTCCTTTTTTACATCAAACAGTTAGTAGTTACCTAGAGCTTTATGCCCCGGAGACCTTAACAGCCCTGTTCACACACAATGTGCTCGAATTTCTTTTTAAAAAAAGCGCGACAACAGTTTCGCCGATGTAACTTCGTCGATGTCTCAAGAAGAGCTCAACCAGGGTTGACATTGTTTACCAAGTGTGCACTTTGTCAGCAAAAGTTCTGTGCTGTGCACTTTTCTTGTTTTCGCCCTCATTCCAATAACTTGTACGTTATTCAACGCAGCCAGAGCAATCCACGAGCCGGAGGGGGGGGGAGAGATAGGGGGCGGTAGGGGAAGGCGTGAAATCCTACCAAGGGAACACACACGCTGTAGTGAAAATTCAAATGACAAGCCGGACAAGACAGCGGGTCAGGATCCTAGAGAGTCGAAATTTGGCTGGTGGAGCAGGTTGATTTTACGATAGTTTGAACACGTCAGGAAAGGTTTTTGCGTAATAATTAGGGCGTTTTTGGTAGCAATTCTGTTACAGAATTTTGGGAGATTTTTATGAGGTCTTATACTATTTCAAGGCTTTCAAGGTTTCCGGGAGGAGGGGGTCAGCTCCAAATTAGGATGGGATCGTAACAACAATAGGTGGAGTTTCTCTCTCGAAAGTTGGTCTTCCCTCTCCCACCACACCTCTGCGAAATAGAATGTACAAGAGGCCAAGTAGTCCGGTGGTGTCACTGACGACGATTGGAGAAAGGAAGGGTGACGTGAAACGGTAGGGGTGCCGCCAAAGATTTTCGGTCCAGTAGGACACAAAGAACGATCAAAGACAAACAGCCGAAAATTCGGCTCCTACTGCTTTCCAATGAAAGGAACCGTACAATTGGAGGGGAACAATGGAAACATCGGTACTACCCAGGGAACTCCACTTCAAGCTCTTTCCAGTATATTAGTGAAAAATATGTCCGAAAGCATCAGAGCATACTACGTAGGTACCACTGAAGTAAATTTGGAACTCAACACCTTCCTCATCAGAACGCGGACATTTTGGAACAGCGTTCTATTAGACCTCTAAAAAGTCAATATAATCCATTTTGCACACGTGAAGGCCTTTTCCCGAGCGTAATTGATTGCGTAAAGAGTTGCAACACTACTTAGTCGTTCAGCAGTCATCAAACCGCAATTCCTCACTTTCGTTTTTGCACGGGCTTCTTGTTGCTCTGGCAACAGAAGGGGATGACTGAGTCGCAGAATGCATTGGACATGAACTCTTGTTGACACAGACAGACACATTTGCTCGGCTCCAAGGGAAGACTGGTGATTTCAGGGAGCAGAATTGATTGCGAGCGAGTCTTTTTCTGTATTCTTCTTAAAAAGGGCTCATTCGATAAGGATGGTACCGGTGAAATTCGTGTGAGCAATCGTGCGGAGAAAACTCCCCATTACAACCCCCGAGGGCAAACTTGGTCACAAAACTATCGAAAGTTACGTGAATTTGCTCTGATGTTCCCTTGGAAATCTTTAAACCGCGGGAATGCGCAAGCAAACCCAAACTTCGCATTTAGAAAACCGGTGTCTATTCTCTCAATGATCATCTATCCCTCAGATAGCCTAATACGAACTCTTAACCATAAATTCGCATTGAGTAACTTGAAGGTTACCTCATAAAAGTGGTTTGTGGTTACTTAAGGGGGAAGGGTGTGCTCAAAAACATAAACGTAGGTATCAGTAGCAACAAGTCCGAGCTTTCCTTACGAAAGAGGGCTCGGAACGTAACCCCAGACTCCACCGAAACGCATCAATGAAAATGACTGCGTTTTGTTACGCATTCTTCTGTGGACTTCTGTTCAGACCTACGCCGGGTAAAACAATTCGGCTCCGCATGATTTGTGGGCCTATGAAACACTTCCACGATCGTGAAGCTACTCAGAAAAGCTGTCCGTTTAGTGGAGCTCCCGACGAAAGCAATGCTGCACTGTAGGAAACCCAACATCTCTCGTCGCCCGCAAAAGTGTTCCATTTTACTTACTAGAAGTAGGTGGGGCCGTATGTGCTATCGTTTTTTTTTTTTCCTTCCCTTGATACAGGGGAAGAAATCCTTCATTTTTTTTGTCTTCCTACCAAGGTGCCTTTCCACCAAGACCAGTGAACATGTGCTGAAAATAAATGAACCTATGGTAAGAACACCATGAAGAACTGAGTTGTGACGAAATGGTGCCTCGGTAGCGTAACTTGTAGCGCACTTGCCAGGTAAGCAAGTAGTGCGGGTTCGACTCCTGTTCTGGGTTTGTTCACAAGCCCTGGCATTCTTTGAAACAATAACGACCCATCGTTTAAAAGTTAGTTTAATTCAAAAGGGTTTTCTCGTACATTTGCCGGTGGAATGGCATACGGACTTTGGATATATCACTTCATGAACTGAATTTCCAGCAATAGTGAATTTATTTTTTTCAAAAGGTCCGTCGTTCCTCTCCAATCGATATTTCCCAAACCATAATCCCGATTCTGCAGATTAAACAGTGTTGCACGGACAATGTTCGGTGCGATTAAACAGAACGATTAACCGGTTCCGGACCAGCGCTGATCCTTTTCGTTCAGCTAACAACTGTCAAAGTCGATGAACCTGTGAAAAGGGAACTCTGTCGTTGTCCAAAGAGCTTTTCAGACTACTGTAGGAACGCTGTAACAATACTTTGAGATTTGTGTAAAGAATGACTCCCCAGAAAAAAACTCGAAAGTACTTCTGTTAAGCAATCTGCGAAAGAAATCGATTGATTTTGCATAAAGCAATAGCAGACAGTAATAAATAAGCTTGGACAAGATTAATGTAGAGAAACAAAGTTCAAGGGCAGACACGCAGAGAATGTGGAGAAAGATCACTATACTGTGGATACGCAGTAAAGGAATTCGGCATTTCTGACTCTTTTTTGCCTAGTCTGTCGGATCTAAGCAGTTACACGACACGGAAGCCGTCGCGCGGCAAGAAGGCAAGTCAGGCGGACGAGTCGCAGCGCGTGATGTGCCGATGGTAGGACGTACAATGGTACATTCTATTCAACTTGACGCGAAATCACTACAGTACGCGCTGCGACTCGTCCGCTGACTCTGCCGTTCTGCCGCGCGACGGGCCTCCTGTCGGGTACCCGGTTCTGACCATATTTGGAGAAGTTTCTATTTTAAACTATTATATTCCATTTTCAGCTATGTGGTGTTGTGCATGAAGATCATGACCCGTATGGGAGCAAAGGTCCTGGAGACACTCGGCGACGACGACTTTGTCCGCTGTGTCCACTCCGTCGGTCTTCCGCGTCCAGTCAAACGTAAGCTACTCATCTGCCATCTATGAAGCTATCATATCCAAACGATTGCTTTCAGAGAAGGTCATCAACCACTGGCCCTGCAACCCCGACAAGGTTATGATCGCTCATCGACCCGTTGAGAGGGAGATCTGGTCCTTCGGATCGGGTTACGGTGGAAACTCGCTTCTCGGTTAGTTACTGGTCGCAGCTCTTGAAATGCCATGAATCAAAAAAGGGACCGCTTTCAGGAAAGAAATGCTTCGCACTTCGAATCGCCTGCAACATCGGATACGATGAGGGATGGATGGCCGAGCACATGCTGGTTGGTGATTGGTCAAGAATTTTCCAATTGACCAATCAGGATTATTGCCTACATTACAGATCATGGGTATCACAAATCCAGAAGGCAAGGAGCGATTCGTCGCCGCTGCTTTCCCATCCGCCTGTGGAAAGACGAATCTCGCTATGTTGACCCCGTCCTTACCCGGCTTCAAAGTCCGCGTAGTCGGTAAGTGACTGTTGAGGTTCCTACAGCCGATAACTCCCATGATGATCACCATTTCCAGGAGACGACATCGCTTGGATGAAATTCGGCGACGACGGACGCTTGTATGCTATCAACCCAGAAGCTGGATTCTTCGGAGTCGCACCAGGTATGGTTTACTGAGATGAGCTGTGCGTACCCATAAATGATTAGAATTGAACAACCCGTGATCTAAACAGTGGGTGAAGATGAATAAAAAATAATGGCTGAGGTTGTGGATTCGAAAAAAGAGCAGACGCAGAAATGTGGAAATTATGCTTTCTCAGGCATGTCTTTGACAGAGCCGCGTTAGGTGAATAAGGCCGCGAGCTTTTGGTCAAAGTTCATCAGAGCCTCAGAGGCTCACCGCAAACAGTCCATGAATCTCCTCCCTGTGAATGACATATCTGGGATTGCAATCGCAAAGATACCAGTGCCACTTCCGTAACTAGGAACACGCGAGATGGGCGCTAGGGGCTTATAAATTGCATTCGTGCACACCCAGGCATCTACGCTGCGCGAATGCATTGGTGTCTGCGTCTCTCACGTCCCTTATATTCTCTCGTCTTAGCTCCCCCAATCTGTCCAAAATGTCTGTCCTCATGGATTTGTTCACATCGTCCAGGAAAGAGACTTTTAGTTTTTGTTCTACCTTCATTTTTGAGCGCGATAATTATCCCTAGGTGTCGCGAAAAGCGCCTCCGAAGGGAAACTAAAGATCGGATCCTGACTGGCATGGCAAACTACGCATTTCCGGTTTGCCGAAGTTATTACGTCCAATGATATCTCACAGGAAAAATTGTCCTATTTATTGATCTCCTTGGGTATGGGTCAGGACAATAGGGTTGTGACATTCGCAAGTGACGCGTGCCCGTCTACTAGCTATTCTGACGCACTATTAGACGCTACACTAAAAGTTCTGTATTCGGGACATCCACCAAGAATTGAAGAATCTGTCACGCGCAGTGACTTGGTTTCTGCGCACCACCGCTTCCTTGAGTCCTGAAACTCATGCATTGACCCCATTTCCGAATAGAAGCTCCTTATCCCTCGAGAGGGAACCTCCAGCAGTTTAACCACTGGAACACGTCCACTACTTTTTTCAGGCACATCCAGAAAGACCAACCCTATGGCTGTGGCATCGTTCCAGAAGAACTCAATCTTCACCAATGTGGCTGAGACTTCTGATGGAGAATACTTCTGGGAAGGATTGGAAAAGGATCTCAAGGAAGATGTGAGTTGGTCGAACTCTAGGGGAGTTTGGGCCTATCACCGTCGATGCTCTTAACCGAACCTCATTTCCTTTTTAATAGGCATCTCTGCTACTTCCCGAAAATTGATATTTAGCGCCACAACGACTGGAAGATTAAGTTCGCTTTCCCCCTCCTTCCTCCATGGCTTTCATTGTAGCCCCTTCCAAAAACTAAAAACTATGACCTTAGGTAGAGTTATACGGTAGCCCTTCTCAACAATAGCCTAAAAAACCTGAGTTACCAAATAAATTCCAAAAAGGAGGAGCACTATCGTGGGTTTGAGAAACAGAATCAAACTAACAATTTCTATCTGCGATATTTCATTCCAATTTGACCCTTATCTTTCTATTCGGAACCCAGATCTCTGTAAAAAAGAGATTTAAGACCAGACCTCCAGAGAGAGCGCCGCCTATGCCATAGATCATTTTGCAACGCCTCATGATATGAGTTGTTTTTCAGAGAAAGATGACCGAGGAACAACTGCGCCATCTCGAAATCACCAACTGGCTCGGTGAGAAATGGCACATCGGAGATGAGGGTACGTTAAGATATGACGACTTTTGTGTCTACTCAGATTTAAACTTGCGTATTTTCAGGTAAGGCTGCCCACCCGAACTCACGTTTCACAGCCCCAGCTGGTCAATGCCCAATCATTCATCCCAGATTGGGAAGCTCCACAAGGAGTACCAATCGATGCCATTATTTTCGGAGGTCGCCGTCCCGAAGGAGTACCCCTCGTACGTACTTGATTATTTACACCCGGGACAAAACCTTGACAGAGCCTCGGCCAAAAACACTGTTCTATTCTATTTCGAAGGCACAGTGTTCAGGATAGGTTCTAAAGAGCTTGAGTTGTCCATGCTGTTCTTTGACCCTTCAGAAAAATTGTCCTTACCGGCTGAAATATATAGAAGTTCTTTTAAGGTATTCGAGAGTTTCTCATGGGAACATGGAATTCTCGTCGGTGCACTTGTCAAGTCAGAAGCGACAGCTGCCGCTGAACACGTCCGGAAAGCAGGTGGGTGAAAATGCTGTAGTTGAAAAACAACAAAAAGTACATTCAATTTTGTTCCACGTAAGGAAAGTAGATGGATCACCTTCTCTTTAGACTACTAAAGAACCTTATGGTCAGTTCAAGGCGATAAGAATCTGCGTTAGAAAGCTGGTAGACATCCCCAGAAATCGTGCAATGCCTTGCGGACCACAATGTACTGAACCAAATCTACTATTGGCGCTATCGCAAGCTATGGGGGTGTTTGTGGTCGCACACTCTTCACAAGCAGCGTAAAACATTCTATTTTCGATAGGAATAGTTAGCTGATAGTGGGAAACTTCCAAGAACGTGAGCAATTCCCACTTCATTTCTTCTCCCTCCTGGCCTTAGCTCTAGAGGATGCTCTCCTATCTTGCGATAGTACCCTCAAAACAGAGCGCCAGATTTTAGAGTTTTTCGTGAAAATACCTCTTATACCTCAAAACTTACATCACTGCCACTGAGTATACTGAAAAGGGAGCCGCAACAGGAACCATCAAAAAAGATACAGTAGAGGGCCAAGATAAGGAAGTGTAGGCAAAATGTATTCAATTATTTCTGCGATTTTAAGCGGAAGTCGAGTGCATGGCGTAATTTCTCGGAAGAAAAATGAAGAACGGTAGAATGAGTAGTGAAAAGTAGAGAAACAATAAGAATAAAAAGGAATCAGAGAAAAGGCAGTAGAAAGCGTCACGCACCAAAAGTGCTCAAAGAGCTTGTGGAGCAATAGCAAAAGAAGGCAAACCCTGGTACCGGCCGGTAAAGCTAGCTAGCTACAACGAACGTCTTCATAACAACCCAACGCGAAGCATAGAATTCTGCATTTGCCACACGGTATACGGTAACAAATTTCATAATCGCAATGATCCATGTCACTACACGCATTCAACAGTTTCGATCAGCTAGCAGTATCCTACCGCTCCCAGATAAAACTATACTTAACCGTAAAGTCTTTGATCTTAAATTAGCAAGCACAGACTATAAATTATAAATCCTGATTCTTAAGTAATGCACGACCTATGGCCTGCGTCCATTCATGGTTGTACAATTCGGCAGTATCTCCCAGCACTGGAATCAACTTGGCAACTGCCACACACACAAAGTATTTCAGAGATACCCCTTTACCAATTAAAATACCTTTGACGAAAAACGATTTCAGGTCCCGAAAATCTTCCACGTCAACTGGTTCCGTGAGACGAAAGATCACAAATTCTTGTGGCCTGGATTCGGTGAAAACATCCGTGTACTCGACTGGATTCTCAGAAGAGTAGATGGCACCGAGGACATCGCGGTACGTTACCCAAACAATAGGGGTCCAGAAGACTGGGTCAAACCGTGACGTTCCAATTCGGGACTACGAACCATTCTGAAGAGGGTTCAAAGACTCCTCTGCGACCATTCGCCAATTATATGGATTGCTCTATGTAGTTTTAAGTTAGGTATGATTTTGGCAAGCCACATGACACACTCCAAATCCCTCCATCTAAAACTTCTCCAGACCACTATCCAATTGAGGGGATAATTACTGAGGGTAAATCTTCATACATTTTCAAACTCTCCCCAGCGACCCCTTCCTCTTTCGCAACTTTGATTCTCTCCCAACCCAAACCACACTAACCCGCTCCCACCCCTTCCTCCGCTAGTCACAAAATACGACTCGATTTTAACGGACGTTGAATCTTTTCCAGAAGATGTCACAAATAAATGAACTCTTAATAGAGACATAAATTTTTCAGGAAGAAACCCCAATCGGATACATTCCCAAACGGGGCAGCATTAATCTTGACGGAATCCCACGTGTCGATTGGAATGAACTGATGTCAATTCCAAAAGACTACTGGAAGGAGGATATTGACGAGAGCAAACACTTCCTTGAATGCCAGGTAACGCCAGCTTTACTGTAACCGTGAAAACCTTTACCATTCCTGGATGACTATCCTCAAATCCTCTTGTTCAGGTCGGTCCCGATCTTCCAAAACTCATCGCCGATCAACTAGATGCGCTTGAGAAGAGAATTCATGCGATGTAAATCACCCTGTGTACATCTCTATTCTTTCATGTTGACCTCACGACATGATAGATCCCACCATGATCATAGATAATTGTTATGTTAGATTCAGATTAGTATGTTAAAAATCGCCAATTAAACATTACACCCTATTTATGGTTCCATATACAAGTATTTCGTGAATAACAAGTTTGACTGTAACTGTTTGAAACGACACGTTCGTCTTCCTAGAATTCATTCGCTACTTCAATGTAAAGACACTTGAAATAATGGATCTCTGTCGTGAGCTGAAGTCGGAATCACGTCCAAGTTCGCGTTGTGTCGATGTAGTCTCCATCCGGTGATTGGTAGTCGGTTATCGGAGGCGTCAATCCTGGACCATGAACTACCACATGTAGCGGCCAGGAAACCGGCTCCACGGCCTATAATTGGTACCGGTAGCGAATATCGCCGAGCCGCAAAAGAGAT